TATATAATATTTTGTGTTTGATAGGTTGGTCTCCCTTCAGCCACGAGGAGGAGGCTCAGGGTGCAATGGTTGAGTAAAACAAAACCCAAGGGAGCAACTATAGGAGGACTAACATGGGCAACAGAATTGAGAAATATATTTATGATTATGATAATTACTTCTTTTCTAGTACTTAATAAATAATATGTTTATGTTGATGTGCCAGTTTCTGGTATTCTGATGGCCACATGCGTTCTTGAGATTAACATTGTGTTCTTTGTGGATGTGCTCCTAAGCTGTTATTATGCACACAGATGAAGAGTCTGGTTCAATTCAATGAACAAGTTAAATAAGCCAAGAAGTACATTCTCTCTTAACTTTGTGTTTCTTGCTAGATACAGTTTGATGACTCCTATGTTTCGAAGTTTACAATTCACATTCTGCATCCCCAAATTGCATCATGTTACCAGCATCATTGGATGCAATTTTTCATATCTTCTTTTATCAATGGGAGCTATAATTTTTGATCTAATTTTCCTCATGCTCTTTCCTATCTTAAAGTTAATAAAAGGATTTGTCTTTTATCATTCTGAAGTGTAACATTTCAATGCATTTTGTCACTTAAATTTATAATTTTTCTCTTAATTTTTTTATTGATTACATATATTAATCATTAATGAAATAATTTCCAATGCAAATATGCTAGAAAAATCAGTATACAGTATTTCACAAATAACTAATTTAACTCATTTTTTTAATATTTATAAATTAATTATTTGCCTCTTACATTTATGACAAGAAGAAGCGTATAATTTTGAAGTTATTGCCTTTTTGGTAATAAATACTAGTAGAGCGTTACTGCTTATAGGAATTTGGTTTAGAGAGTCATACACCGTACAAAACTGTCACGAGGAATTTATATGACTGTGGAATTTGGTATTTGTTTCCATCTGTGTCACATTACTTATAGGAAAAATTCTAAAAAAGTGACTACTGAATTTCAAAATACCAAATCAAGAATTACTACAAAAAAGGGTTGTCATTTGCTCTTTGAATGTAGTCATTTTCTTTATGAGTATAGTAACAAAGTGTTTGTTATAAATATTGAGAATTTTCTATTTTGACCAAATTTTGAGAATAATTTAATATGTTGATTCTGACGTCTTGTGATTTCCATTGTAAACAATTAGGCCATTACCAGCTAAATGTGACACCGGCACATGCTGCACTTAAATGTTTTCTTCAAAATCTTGTTCTTTATGGCACAAGTACCTTGACATAAACTCCTAAATATATCATTCAAGTGCTTATTATTCAAAATATCTTCGTTGGATCCATTCCGCAAAAAATACTCATCAATAAGGATACTTGTATAGGGTTCTTCGGATTTTAATTTTCCCAAGATTTGAAGATGCACCCAACATTTTAATCTTGTTTTTCAAGGACATTCAATATCCTAATTTCTTTTAAGAAAATTTGAATAAAATGACATTTGAATTTGCAAAACTCTAAATGGTCATTTAAGCTTATAAAATTGCAAATTAGTCATAATGACTAAATTGAAATTTTAAAATGTTAATGAGTTTGCAACATTAACTTTTAATTTTTTTTTTAAAACCTCAAGCCACCCTTACTTACCTGCAGGCTGCAGGCATCAGAATTCAAGTGGCCACTGGTCACCGAGCTCTAATGGATAGCCGATAATCGGTTGCCAGAGTGTCAACACTCAGCAACTATTTTTGAGATTTCTTAACTTTTATAATGTGATTAACAAGTCTTATAACGATATCCATAACTTCATCAACGCTATTAACAACATGTTTTTTTAGGTTTTTAAACTGAAATTTTTTCAACATTCATAATGCGATTAACAATTCTTATAACGATATTTACAATTTCATTAACGCTATTAACCATATGTTTTTTTAGGATTAACAACTCTTATAATGATATTTACAACTTCATTAACACTATTAACCACATGTTTTTTACATTATGAAAGTTGAAAAATCCTAATTTAAAAGCCTGAAAAACATGTATTTAATAGCTTTGTAAACATTGTTGTAAGAGTTGTTAATTACATTGTGAATGTTGAAAAAAATTTCAGCTTAAAACCTGAAAAAACATGTGGTTAATAGTGTTAATGAAATTATGAATATCATTACCAGAAGTTGTTAATCATATTATGAAAGTTGAAAAAATCTCAAAAATAGTTTCTAGCAATTGGTCGTTGGCATTACATTAGAGCTCCAGTTACTTATGGCCACCTGAACTTGAACTTTGATGCTGACTAGCTAAAATTGCTTACTTTATACAAAAATTGTTAATAGTTTAATAAAAAGAATCAAAATTGTTAATTTTAACTATTAAAAATTTAAGATGAATAAGATGAAAATGGTAATTTTAAATAAATAAAAGGGGTGATATTGCATCAAATTTAAAAGCTTATAAATAAAATTACACTACTAGAAAGATTAAGACATTAAGTTCACCCCAAAAATTAAAATCGGAGTGCTGAGTATTGCTTTAGCCTTTTTTTTTTAATTTTTAGAATCACATAATTTATTTTCACCAGTTTTGTAAACAAAACCTTAGAATTTATGAATTGGGAGTTTTCTCACTTTCTGCAATATAAGTTTACTTGACTTGTTGGTCCATTCCTTGTTAAGAACCATAAATTGTATAGGAGAAAGTTATCATCCGACATGGAATCAAAACTCTGAGAAGGTATAATAGTCAATTATCCTAAATGTATGAATATAAATGGGATCATTTTTAAAACGAGAAAAATTAGATTGTAAATTCATAACTTTTATATGAAAGTTTGCGACAAATTATATTGTTTGCCCCCTCATGAATGGTACTACTCGTCCTGTTATACATGTCTAAGCTAATGAAGAAGTTGGTTTTGAATTTTGATCAAGTAACACTTTAATTTTTTTCCCCCTAAAACTAAGACATTACTTTATTTTATCTATTAAGTTTATTATTTTTTCCTCAAACTAATTTATCTAATTTGTAAATTGAATATAATATAATATTATAATAAAGAGATTATGTCACATTTTTTAAAATTCAGTAATTTTTCTTAATTTTTTTAATTTATTCAAATTAATTATGTAGTGTTTTTAATAACAACCAGAAGAATAATTTTCATAGAATTTTTCAAGATTATAAGTTGTAGCATGCATAATCGGACCCACGGTTACAGTCGCAGTTAGAATGTTCTTTTTTTTTTTTTTAAAATAAGTTTATGATATTTTCTTCGCAGCAAAATTTATGACATGTTAAATGTAATAGAATGAGGTGTGAATATTATTATTAGCAATTTAGTATTGAAAAACGAAGGCAAGTTGTAAGTATTGGTGAATATTATTCCACTATGTCTCATGGTAGCATCTCGTTTTTGTTCCAATTATTTTAGGATGGGACAATCCTGTTTTAAAAGATTTTGGAATAGGACAAAAACGGAACAAGATAAAATTGTTTTGAGATGGGATAAGACGTGGGACGCAGGATGCGGTTGTCCCATCTCAGTCATATCCCAATATATTATCTTTATTTTAAGTTATTATATATTTATTTTAATTGTTACTATAATAGTATTTTGGTAATAATATTTATCAATTATTATTATTTATTTGTTTATAAGTTGTTTTTGTATGGGTTACATAATATTTTTTATAGTGAATATTTTAGATTTGTTTATTTTTTGTGTCTCATGATTGCAAAAAAATATTTTTTTCTTTGTCATGGTTTCCTCATTTCTATCTATTTTCCTCACATAGCTTTTATTATAAGTTATTACAGTTCTTGTATAGTTAGTTTTTAAATTAAAAAAATAAAAAAATTCAAAAAAAAGAAATGGAACATCTTTGTCCTGTCTTAATTGAAATGAGATGCGACACAAGACGGAAAAACCGTCCCATTTTAGTTATCGAGACGAGATTGGGACGGGGTCGTCGGTCTTATCCTGTTCCGTCTCATGAACACCTATATCAAATTTAAAGAATTTTCTTGATGTAAGGGAAAATTATTTTTTTAATTGTTGACCTTTTAAATTAATGTAACGAAAAAGAATGAAATTAATCTAAATTTGGGCACTTTAAATTAACTTATTTACTTTCCAGTCAAAAAATTAACTTATTTACTTTTATGTTCATTTTAAAACAATAGTAAGATTTGATTTCAATCAGATTCAACCTATTATTATCTTATATAAAATGTCATTTGTACCAGTTTTTTTTTTGCCAAAAATATTCATAATTTTTAGATGTTTTTTCCCCACCAAAATCAAATAAAAAATTACTAGTGTGGATGGTTTATTTACATTCACATACAAAAGATTTATGCGTCAGTTTGTTTTTTCTTTTGTGTTTTTTTTGTTTGTTTGTCAAAGCAGTTTGTTTTTTCGGTAACACTGTAATTGATAGATTTTGTTTTTGATAAAAAGATGAATTATATAAAATGAAGAAGAATTATACAACTAAGATTGGTGCTGTAGATGGGTAATTGACCGATATTTATCTCGTCTCAGTGATATGGAGACTGAAAAAGGCAAGCATAATGCCAGAGCAATCTGGCATGAAAAGATTTTTTTTTTTTTTTTAAAGTAATCTTAGATCTGGCCATCATTTTTTATCAATTCATCTCGTCTAGGAAAATTGAAATTTTTGCTTTTCCTTTTTCCTTCTTTTGGTTTCCCAATTTCCCCAAAGATTCTGTCACAGGTTAGCTTGTCTTATGCAATGTAAGCTACAGTCACATTCCTCTTGGGCGCGCGCTACATTGCGAATCACGCACCCCGTCGTTCTGTTTCCTTTGCTGGCAGTGGAACTTCTTTAATCCTTGCGGTTATCTTGTCGAACGATTTGTGAATAAAAACACTGAAAAGAGGTTCCTTTTGACATTCTCTTTCTCAGAATTTAGTTTTGTTATTCATTCATCTCTTCTGGCTGGGTTATCAGCTTTCCCCGTTTCCTCATCTTCAGTTGTATTGCTATTTCTCAAACGTCTCGCTTAATTGATCAAGGTTGTTTCCCTTGACATCATTTGTGCCATTCCTTCATGAGTTTTGAATGTTCTCCTGTAGAAATTTTACGCCACGTGTTTATGCGTTTGGAATGATTGGACTAATATTCCGTACATCATGGATGGACTGGATTTCTTCTCTTTACTCTGTGTTTCGGGCACATTCTGTTATGCTTCTTAATGAATACCAGTTTCGCATTTGATGTCTCTAGTCCATATTGGGAAGGATGACTACACTGACGGGGAGAGCCATCCACCGCTTGATGTTTCCCTGCTTCTGTTCCTCAACCATGCTAGATTTTTATACTGTAAATAGGGTATTAGTTGGTTAAAAACTTAATTGCAAGATGAAATTTTACTATTTATTGCCTCACAGCTTATCAATAGTCATCTCAGCAATGGGATGCTACTGAAATTTTTCATGGAGGATGTGAGAAAACCTGGATCATTGCAATGCTGGGTCAAATATCTGTCTGGAAACAAAAGAAATTGATTAAGTTGGAAATTTTATCTGGCCTTGTGCACGTGCTTGTTATTTGGAATGCTCATCCCCTATTAACACAGCCTGAACCTTTTTCCCTCTTTTACTTATAAATGTTGGCCTGTATGAATCTATAGCATAGTTCTCATACATACAGAGAACATGGAATCCGTTCTTTTTTCCCACAAAAAGAAAAAAGAAAAAGGAGATACTTAGCAGTCGGGATTAGATTATTTATTTGAATCTGTTTTCCCAGAAAATAGTGCACCAATCATCCACACATGTTACTCATGAATTTGCTACTTTATGCCTATAGGGATAATGGTCATGGCATTGGTTATATTCGTTTGGTTGTTTTGCTTCTCAAGCACCTCTAAACTTCCAAGTTCTATTTTTCCTTTTCCAATCATCTGTTATAAAACAAGTGACAGAGCCTTTCCTTTTGTAACGTTTCCAGATTATATGATGGGATGCTACACTATAAAGTCACATGGAGGGAGGGTGGCAAGGACACATAAACTTGACTGGCTAGTACTTCTGCTTCTAGTGGTTATTGACCTATTCTTGGATTCATTAGAACCTTTCCACCGCTTTGTGGGAGAGGGCATGATGACGGATTTGAAATACCCATACAAAGATGAAACTATACCCTTTAGGGTCGTTCAAGTACGTTTATGTGTTGCACCAAGAATACACATTCGGCTTTTAATTAACTATATAGCTATGTTGATATTGTGAACGAACAACCTTAACTTTTTTCATCTTTTCTGAAACAGATTGTTACCATATTATTTCCTATTGCTGTCTTTTTTATGTTCTACATTTGTAAAAGGAATGTTTATGACTTGCACCATTCAATACTAGGTATTTTCCATTGCTTTGACTTTGTAACTGGTTTACTGTTATTCCCATGCTCATGGCTCATGGTATCTTACTTGAATGCACTCTTGGGAACGTCAGGTATTCTTTTCTCTGCACTTATAACTGGGGTCATCACAGATTTAGTTAAAGTTGCAGTTGGTCGACCAAGACCGAGCTTCTTTTGGCGATGTTTCCCTGATGGTAAAGCGGTGTGTTCTCATTCTTTTTCAAAATCTTTTCTTCCTCCTCCAAACTATTCTCTCTCTCTCTCTCTCTCTTCCCCCCCTAAAAGGGGCATGATATGAGGAGGAAGGGGGAAGTGAGTTTGGAAAATCTTTTCTATCTCCCTTGTTGCTCTTGTTTAGTAATGGTAGTTGTTTTAATGGTACTACCTGAGGGAGTGGGTGACATTCGTTGATATGCAGGTATTTGATGCCATCACAAATGATGTTGTTTGTCATGGGGATGAGAAGATTATAAAGGAAGGATACAAAAGTTTTCCAAGTGGGCATACTTCATGTAAGTAGATTATCTATTTCCTGTTGTTTGTGTATTCATGAATTCATGAAGCACCTCTACCATTAGATGGGCATGGCTTCATATAAAAACATACATTTGGCATAGGCATCGTCCTCTTGTTGTGACTCACTATTGTCTTGTTGAATTGGTTTTTCTTACACACATTATTTCAAAGATGTTCTTAGTGACAAAATGTATCCAACTGTATTTTGTTGAGGAATGAAGCTGCTTCTATCATGACTAAACAAAGAACATAGTGAATGGGCTGTCGTTTGCAATGCAATGCAACCAAAGGGACCAACCATTTGTTAATTGTTTCCAAAGATTGTACTTTAAGTAATTAATGTTCACTGGAGAGAAAAAGAGGAAAATTTTGCTGGAAATAAAATCTGCTATTGCTTATACAATGCCGGGTCAAGAAGGTATTATTCTTTAGCTGCAGAAATCTTCTTAAAATACTAGCATTCTGAGCAAACTTCTTTTAGACACACATATTTCCTGTACCTTACTATTTGAGGCTAATTATTACACGCATCTCCCTATGCAAAATATCATTTTTTTAATCTCGTTTTCAAATCTGTAGCTAGAATAAACGTTTCTCCATTTAATGAATATACCGCCAATTTCAGATTCAGTCCAGCGTGTGCTTTGTGCTGGTATAAAAAAAAAAAAAAAAAAACTTAGCATCTGGTTTATCATATGATTTAACAGATGGAGATGGAGTGTTTTATTGTGATGAAGTAGTGTGCTTTTAACCTTTTATGAAACTTAGCCCTTCAAATTTAATTATGTGTATGTGTACACATTCCTCCAAATTGCAGGGGCCTTTGCAGGTTTAGGATTTTTTGCATGGTATTTATCAGGAAAAGTTCGAGTGCTTGATCGCAGGGGTCATATAGGCAAATTATGTCTTTTATTGCTTCCTTTACTTCTTGCTGCTTTTGTGGGAGTTTCCCGGGTTGATGACTACAGGCATCATTGGCAGGACGTGTTCGCTGGAGGCCTACTAGGTTGGTAGTTGCAATGGATCAAAATCCAGTGGCTATTTGGGAATTATTACTGTCAAATAGAGACCTAAGCAATTTAAATGGCAGGGGCTTTGACTTCGACTCTATCTTCTTTTTTTGCCCCTTTTTACGGCAGGGATTATTGTCTCTTCAACCTGCTACTTACTACTCTTTCCTTTTCCTCATCAGTCAGGTGTGCATTTTTTTTTCCCTAACTACTTTGTAGTTTCTTAACACAAATGTGAATTATTTTCATCATTGTAAGAATTGTTGCCTGCTAGGCTCTATTTGCTATAGAAGGTTCATTTTTTTGATGTTGGAAGTTATAATATTTGGCTTGGTGAGCTCGCTTATAAAGTTCATCCTCTAGCATCTTTCACAATAGTTCTACTCTGCTTGTGCCACTGGAATTCGCTAATGTTCCATTTTAAAACTGGGAATAGTGATGGGCGGGCTTTTATGCTAAAAATGAAATAAAAAGTGTTGCATAAAGGAGCTGATGGGAACCTTCTATCAACACAACGCATACAACACAGGAAGTTGAAACAGTTGAGTGCTTATATTAATGTGGAAATATGCTTGGCAATAGAGCTTACGACACATCCACTGTAAGTAAGTATCTGCCCTGGAATCTCTTGTAACAGAAAGAACTCAGGTGTCCTGCTTGACAGAAATGCGGCAAGCACAAGAAAATACAAAACTAGAACCTTAAAGAACAGTGAAGATTTTCCATCTTTTGTAAGGTTGGCTCTTTGCACCAAAACGTGACTGAAGTTCCTCTCCACGCTTGTTTCTGAGTTGCCCCAGTTACTGTTTTAACTGCTGTCTCCTACCTTACTTCTTTTGCTTCTCTGCTTTTCTGTCTTATTTGGTTCTTAACCTTTGGACTTTTTCTAAACCTGTAGTTCTCCCTTTTCTGTCCTCTGTTTCTCCTTTTTGTCTCCTGCTCTAAGCTTTGGTGGCAGTGGTGGGTTGGGGCCCATCAAGATTATTTACAGTTTGAATCATCAAGGTGTTAGTCTCTGAGTGATAATTTATTTTTGTTGTGGTCTCTTGAGCCTTTCACGTATTGTACACGGTAGTCTGTATGCGTGTTGCATTCATGCCTTCTTTTTTTTAAAACTTTGGAGATGTTTTAAGAAGATTAATTAACCATCAGCCTCTCAGAGTCAACAAATTAATCAGCTGAGAAAACAATTCATCTTCCCATATTATATTGGGGTTATAGTTTTGTCAGTAGTTTGTGTTTCCTCTTGTAGGCTGCTTAAACGGGTTAAATCCCAAAGTAAATATTATGGTTCTTGAACTCTCACAGGACTTCTGCTTATTTCCAAATGTGCAGGTTGGGCGCCTCATGCCTATTTTGAAATGTTGGGTAGAACAGAAGGTAATTTGACGGAGGATTGTCTTCCTATTCTGCAACCACAATTTAAATCTGCAAATGCAAGTGGCTCACAAGATTTGAATGTGCACATTGAGTTACTGGAACCTGGAAGAACGTACTGAATGCTGACCTTTACCTTAAACCAAATGAAATACGGTGCTCCTCTATGCTTGTTGTATATTAAATATTGTCATAGGTGTAAGCATGTGTAATTAGTTGCGGTGCCTTACGTACATGTAAGAAGGTACTTGTTGACATCTGAATTTGGAAAACATATTCGGTGGACCTTGTCATGGCGTTGGCCATTGATTGTAAAAGATATGTTTTGTCAAGGTCTAACGTTGCCAAGGGCCTCAAACTTGAGAACACAGTGTATCTTTGACGTCTCAATATGAAACATATTGAGTATAGTGAATTTCGTGGATCTCCGTCCAAAACTTATTTTGCTTCCTTGTCTTGCGTAGTCGCATTTCCCCCAGCTTTGACTTATCTGCTCTGCTTGTAAATGCGAATAGATTTTTCCGAACCGAGAAAAATAGCGAATGAGGAAGAAAATGTGTTGGTGCTCTGCTCATTCAAATCCGCTACACCTAATATATATTACAAATGATGCATTAATATTTATTAACAGTAGAGAAACGCATGTTAGTTCTAGATTATTTTCATGACTAATACTCTGCTAGGATAGAATACTGAGTCCCACATCAAGTAGTGTGAACTGCTCAAGTGAGATGGTTCTCCTACCTCAATAGTAAGCGTCTAGGTTGGATTCCTAATCCCAATTAGATACCCATCATATTCTTATATGTTGAGCATAGTCTTAGCAACCATAGAACAAAAGCAGGAAGGATTAAGGGAAGCATCAGTTTGCATTGAGCATCTACCTATACACAATTCATAAAAGTTGATGCAGGTTGGCCTGTTGCTATACATTTTTGTTCAGTTTCATCATAGAAATATGATGAGCAACGGAAGGAGCATCTTTCTTTGAACATTCTAAGAATTGCTGAAGTAAAATTTCTATATGCTTTTTTACTTCTCCTGAAAATATTCTACCAAAAAGTGTACTAACTTGCACGACTTCGAAGTGGTGGATGATGAGTTTCATTATATGCATATATTTTTAGGGCATGCTTAGTGTTTGAAGTTGTCACATTATGGGCCCAATTTTGCAGATTTGAAAAAGGGAAAATGGGTTGACTTTCAAGCCCACTCCCTACTTCTACTACAGATCAGCCTCCCCTACCACATGCTCGTGTTTGTAAGTGTCCTATCCTGGCACCCCAGACGTAATCATGAAATCCATGTGCTCATTATGCTGGTCCTTTTACACTGAACCTATCCATTGGATTATTTGAATGAAGCTCACATTGGTACGGAGGCCTCTCTTGACCTTTAATAGCTATAAGCAATTTTTTAATTGATTTATTTATTTTGCATATTTAAAAGCGCATAATTAAATACGTATAACTTAATATTCAATTGGAATGTTAAATATTAAAAAAAATTTACCCCAAATGCACTTATTGTGATCGAATTAATATATTAGTGTTTTTCAGGCAAAAAAAAAAATAGTATTGTTTCTTTAGGATATTTCATTTTTCTTTTAGGTCTTATTATTAAAATTCACATCAATGAAACGATCATTGTAAAATATCTTATAAATAAGTGGCATTTTGTCACCAAAAGGAAAAGTTGGCATTTGATTTGGGAATTCAAAATCAAGGCCTTACGTGATTGAGGCCCCCCCCCCCAAAAAAAAAAAAACGGATCGAAGTGGGGGGAAATGTTAATGAAATAAAGATAAGAATAAAACGAAAATTGGCGTCGAATAAAGTAATTCACTAAATTAGTAGATGGGTACCTCTTGTCGGAGAGCATAAATAGAGCAAGAAGAATGAGAATTTGAAGAGAAACATATGGCCCTAGGGTTCTGTTAATCTAATTCACAAAATTGGCGGATATGATGAAATTCATAATTTTGACAAATATGTAAAACAATTATTAAATGGATTGACTTTTTAATTTTAGGCCCATGCCCAAATTAATACCTGTCATAGAGAAGCATAAATGTGCAGTATTAATGTTCACTCTATCACTAATGGGTTGGGTCTAATGAAAAGAGTTAATCTCTCACAACATAATGAATTAAGGTTTAAATTCTCATTAGGAGAGATGTCTATATTTAGTATCTGACAACGTATCTAATAAAAAGATACTTATGTTTTAGTGAAAAAAAAAAGTTCACTCCACCCTCTCAATAAAATCAAGCTAAATATAAAGAGATAAGGTAAAAATGAAAGCTTTTCACCTAAGAGAACACACACAGAGCACGCTGCAAAATTATTATTAATTTATTCTATTTTTATTATTTTTTTGCACATAGTTTAAATAAAATTATGGCATGAGGCTATGCAATAATTTTTGCATTTCTAAAGTACCGAACTAGCACTCACCGTACTCCCATAATAAATTTGTAAAAGATACCCTTTTCTTGTAAGCATAACACTACAAATACGTCAACTTTGAGGGGGTAAAACAAAGAAAGAAGGAAAGAAAATGTCAACTTTATATACAATATCTTTTTTTAATATATTGGATATTCATGACGCCAATCCTTTTGTCTGATGTAATTTTTTTTAATCATTTGCTGACGATAATTAATTTGAAGTTTGAACCATTCTAGCCCTGGAAAGAAAAATTGAACCATTATAAGCTAAAAGTTTGAATTGGTCTTAGTGCTCTTATGGGTGTTTTCTTGTTATTGCCCTCTTAATAATGTAGCTGAAACCCTAATAATCATTGAATTTTTATAATAATTATTATTACTGATAATAATATAACTGGTCCTTTTTCTTTTCTTTTTTTACTTTAAACTTTCGATTAAGAAGTTGTTTGTAGTCTTAATATAACTAAAAAATATTTATTTACGAATTAAATAATAAATTATAAATTTTTTTAAGCTTTCTCAAAACGAGTACATTTTGTTACCGGAAATTTGATTGAGTCAGAAGTGACTTTGGTCAAGTGTTGACATTGTATATATTTTTATTTTTCGGTTGATCCTATACGTCAGTTGTAGTTCTAAAAAGTCTAATATTTTCTTACTTATTTATCGGTAATAATTATATGTTCGAAAATAAGTATTATAAAATAAAAGATTTGTTTGAAAATAAGTGCAATCAATCAAAACCAAATTTATTATTCTGTAACTAGACACTATCATCTATAAATTTGAAGCCAACGAGGCTAAAGGCTTTATAGTTAAATCCAAGTTCTTAGATCATCGAAGAAGAATAGAGATCGATGAGTTTGTCTTCTCTTTATACCATTTTCTGATGCTGCTTCTACTTATTACATCTACTCTTTTCATGCTCTGCATCGATGCACGTGTCGTAGGTATGTGTCCATATGTATCAAAAAATTATATATGAGCTTTTATATTTGTTTTCTTAATTATTTTAACTTTTTTTTTAATATATCAAGGGTTAAAGAGCATTATACTTATTATATATGTTTTGGATAAAAGAATATATATTACATATAGAGTTGAGTTTTGGATCATTTTAGCGAGAGAAAAAAAAGGAAAATTGATGAAAAATTCCCAATTACGAAATTTTATCACCTAAAAGAACCTGAAATTTGTTCAAAAATTCAGGTACAACCTCGTTCTCAGACTTAAAGATATATTACATATAATTAAAGATATATTGTATACAAATAGGTTCTAGATGCCTTTGAGCAATGGGTTTGGTAAAGATGGATTTTTGAGCACTTTTTCCAAAGAACAAAGATAGAAAAGAATTTTTGAAAAAATGATGGAAAAACAAAGAATAAGAATACATATATAAAAATTAAAAAAATAGAAAATAAAGAAAATTCTTGTGTATGTAATAATTTAGTTGGATACTCTTCATGTCCAGAAGAGACCAAAGTTTGTAGTTGAACAATTAATTAGAGGCAAAAGTTAAAAAATTAAACATAAAAATGTATCTATTTCTCTCATAATCGACAACTTTATTTGATATGAAATTAAAGGACAATTAATGTTGACTGAAATATATTGTAGTTTCTTTTAGAATATCAAAATTTGAGAGAAGAAGTAAAAATTCTAATCATATTCACAAAATACTATCTCTGGTCCTAATTATAAGAGCTAGTTGATTAATTTTTAAAGAGATTAAGAAAATAAGTTAAGTTAGTTATTTGTAATAAATAGTTATTGTCTTTTCTAAATATCCTTACTAATCAAGTATATTAACTAAAATTACTATTATTAGAATGACTACTTTGAAAATATATATAAATATGAGAGATAAAATATATTGAGATTTTATATTTAAGACCGGAGGTAGTAACAAATGTACACATGAAGAAGCAGGTCGACACGGCCAAGGTCCGTGGCCAAGACCACCACCCTCGCCCGAAGGACATTGTCCCTAGACACCATCAGTAAAGTCGAAGCCAAAGCAAGATTCACCGGCAAATCCATAAACATAAGTACGTGTTTTGTCATATGTCTTAATTTAGCTCATACGAAATAAGATGTATTATGTATCAATTTATGTCTCCTCATCTTTAATTTGGTTGATATCCTTTGTTTTGTTTTGTTCCCCCCCCCCCTTCCCTTGCTGTTCGAGCTTGTACGGTTGGTGAATGTGATGTATTCGATATATAGAAGGATATATGTGATTATATATTATATTGCTTTATTGTAGCATTTCGCTGGCTGATTTTTCCAGCACAAATTAAGAATACAAAGTCTTTATTAATTAGTTACTCCTCCAGTCCTAAATATAAGACCTTTATATTTAGGACCGGAGGAGTATAACAAAAATTGAGATTATTCATATATTTTGTTCTTAGATGTAAGAATTATGCAATTGTAAATAAATATAATCATTAGTTTCTTTCTTTCTGCATCTATATATGCATTTCACAAAAACAAGTTAATTACCAACTTGTGTGCAACCAAGTGTACATGATAAGCGCAAAGGTTGTCTGCTACGACAAATTAAGAAATTTGAAGAGTGAACAAAATTTTATTGTCCTAGTGCTCTGAAAAATTAAGAAAAAGACCGTTTAATCATCAGTAGCAAGATATGGTTGAAGGAACCAAGGTAGTTTACAAAACTGCCCCCTTCCTGAAGTGCTTGATTTAGATTAGGTAATAATTAACTTTGCAATAACTTAATACTGAATCCAGCGCTGTTATCGCAATTCGATTAGGAGCGAGCATAATCCGTCATATCAAGTTTTGCCGTAATATAGTTACTTTTTATTTTTAATTTTAAAGAAAGGATTATTGAAGTCCTTTTTTTTTGGGGGTTAATTAGTTCAATATTAACACGAGTAGGCAAACGTAAGGAAACACAATTAATTAATTAACCCAAATATTGTACTGCACATATATTTATTTAGGAGCCAAATGCGGTAAATAACAAAACGTGATTATTATCATTTGATTGAAATAAATGCAAACATAACAGTTAAGAAATTAAAGTAAAATAATGTCAACAAAAACTTAAATTAAGATAAAATATTGGAATGAATAGATGTAGTAAAATTGTGAAAATGAAAAAGTGTTTGTATAATTAAAATAATTAATTTGTATTACAATTTTTTTCCTGCAAATAATATTAATCTATTCACAAAGATAATCTCTTTTAGGCTGTAAGCTTATAAGTTCACGTAAATTATGTCTGCAACACTTGCAACCAGGAAAAATTTAAATAAAGCATCCGAAGACTCACAGTTATATGTACAAGTGAAATCTATTTTAATTTCATCAATTGAGGTCATGTGCTTCTAATATGCTAGTTACACGTAACTAATTAATCGATCAATTTTTTATTATTGAATCAAATGATTTGTATGCATAGAATCAATACATATAATTTTCTTTTGATAATCAATACATACGTTAATATACTAATCAATATAATAGATTAACACTATTCACAAATCATAAATATATTTTATTCATTTGTTAGAGTAATGCATGAGAATTTTCTGTTGGAATTAGATGAATTTGCCAAATTGCATTTGCGCATGCAGTGTTTTAATTTGATGATGATAAAAGCATTCTTAAATCTCTCAACAAATACCGTTTCTAAGTTGCATTTTGCTTGAATCTACATAATTAATGTCGTTCTGCACTGACTTCAAATGTAAGCATTGACATTAAGTATATTACATTACTCTCTGATCAGTTTCTCAAAAATTTTAAAAATATATTTGCTTCTTTTTTTTTTCCCCCTACTTAAGTACCAAGTCAAGTCACAACTAATAGAAAAAAATGGCAAGAACAAATAAAATCATACATAATGTGGCTTCATCTAAATTTTAAATTTTAGGATTATATCGGCAATACTTTGAAATTAGGTGATGACAAGATCCCCCTCCCCCCGGGGAGGCCCCCCCCCAACAAAAAAAAAGGTAATGATAACATCATGTGCGCGGTTTCGTTAGCAATTTAAAGGTGTAGTAGCATAAATTAAAACCACGCGGTTTTGAATTTGC